GTGTATATATATATATAAATAATTCTGACCACCACTGTATATATATATATATATATATATATATATATATATATATTTACACACACATATAATATGTAAACAAAAACGTTGTTCCCAAATTCTGACCAGCACTGAATATATACTGTATATATACAGAGTGCTTGTCAGAATTATTTCCCCCCTTGGTAAATATGATCAAAGATGGCTGTAAAAAATAAGTCTGCACTGTTTATCCTTTTGATATTTAATTTTTTTTTAAATGCAAAAATCTAACCTTTTATTGAAGTAAAAGACTTGAAAGTGGGGGGAAAAAATCACATTATGAAATAAATGTTTTTCTCCAAAACACACTGGGAATAATTATTTGCCCCCTTTTATTAAATACTTTTTGCAACCTCCTTCTGCCAAGATACCAGCTCTGAGTGTTCTCCTGTAATGCCTGATGAGTTTGGAGAACACCTGACAAGAGATCAGAGACCATCATTCCTCCATACAGAATCTGTCCAGATCCTGCAGATTCCCAGATCCATGTTGGCGCTTCTTCTCTTCAGTTCACTCCACTTATTTTCTATAGGGTTCAGGTCTGGGGCTGGGATGGCCATTGCAAATGTTTGGTTTTGTGCTCAGTGACCCATTTTTGTTTTGATTTTGATATTTGTTTTTGGACCGTTGTCCTGTTGAAAGATCCAAACATGGCCAGTTATAAGATTTCTAGCGGAGGCTGTCAGGTTTTGATTTGTTTTCTGTTGGTATTTGATCAAATCCATGATGCCATGTATCTGAACAAGATGTCCAGGACCTCTGGCAGAAAATTAGGCCCACAGCAGTAAAGATACAGCAGAGTATTCCATTATACACATGGGGTACTTTTTTATCCCTGTATGAACCAAACCCATATTAAGTGTTTGCTGCCAAAAAGCTCTTTTTTTTGTTTCATCTGACCATAGAACCCATCCCGTTTGAAGTTCTAGTGTCAGTTACTTTTCAAACGTTTTATGGTCAGATGAAACAAACAAAAAAAAGAGCTTTTTGGCATATATTTTGATATGTATATATATATATATATATTATATATATATATATATATATATATATATATATATATATATATATGTGTGTGTGTGTGTGTATGTTATATGTATAAATATATCTGTGTGTATACAGTATACACACTAATAAGTGTTTTCCCCCAAAATACGAATTCAGAAACAAGTTGAGGAATTCTGGTAAATCGTTCCCCATGAGCACTTTACACTAGCACTTTGTGTATTTTTATTCTCTGTGTAAAAATCTGTGTGTTTGAGGAATGGCAGTAAATTATAATTACTATAGCTTTTAAAACTGAATGCAGGCACTGTTAGTCTTTGCATGCTGTATTCTCATTAGAACCTGCTCTGTAGACCAACCTACGACAGAAGAGGTCTGTTGAAATACTCTGAACACAGAAGTATAAGGAAGCATTTCAACCCTGCTGAGAGGGGCTACAGTGTGGTTCCTGTTGACCAGCATTCCAGTTCTCCTATGTCATTCGAATGTAATTCACATTTTAAAGGGGCCATATAATGAAAAATCTAACGATAGTTTGATATATTATAAAAACATACACTAAAATTCAGGAATCCAAACCTTGAAAAAAGAATATTCTATGAAACGAACATGTAAAAACAACTTGCTCTGAACTTCTTTAACGTTCTGAAGTCATGACTACCAGTATTTACACGTTTACAGTACAGAATGTTCTGAAACTTGGCCTGTCATGTCATCATGTAAGGTGACATTGTTTAGATTCCATTATTCCATAGATGCAATGGTAATAACTAAATCAATTGTGTGAACATTTGTCAAATCTTATACTTATACGATCAACAAGATGCCTCTGGGTTTTGCAAAGAGACAGTTATTGAAGGATGACTTGAAGGAATTGAATTACTATTGAAGGAAAACAATATTTTTAACCTCAACAACAAATCAAGTCAAGTCAAGTCATCTTCATTTATATAGCGCTTTTAACAAAGGATTGTTCCAAAGAGGCTTTACCGTGATAAAAGGAAATTAAAGTAACAGAGATTGTTTTGGTTTTATAGCGGCTCTAGAATAAGGTTATTGTCCAGCTAAAGTTAGTTTTGATTGATTCACTTCTGTTGCAGAGATCATTAGTTATTAACTTAGGGGCCGCTAACACGACACCGTTCTAACAGAAAACTCTTCAAGTTCTCTCTACGCAAACTTTAAAAACGCGAACCCGTGAGAACGCCGATGGCGTGCACATGCGTATTAAGAGTTCATTCTATAGGTATGCGCGTTTGAATATATATGCGCAGGCATGTAGTCCTTCCCTAATAAAAACAACCCTCAACAAACTGGCCTTAAAATGTATAATACAGATTTTTTATCGCCACGCGAACCGGAATTATCCCGACAAAGCTTTATCTGTAGAGAGGTAAGGGATGGGATGGGAGGCCTTCACAGGGGAGGGACTAGTTGACACTTCAGGACTGCATTGTCATCGCGTCCAGAAGCAGGTCCTTCATCAGACCAACCAAATGTAATGCATTTTACTTTCAAAAAGACATGATTTATCCATTTAATTAGAAATTACATACATTAAAACATATTTCACAAGTGATATTCACATTGTTTTTTTTTCTTTTCTTATATTTCATCGTATCCTTGCTGTTTATCAATACTTGTGCCACCTTTCTAACCAAGTACACTAACAAAACAAAAAAACTTTGTAAGGGCCAGAATTGTTGGTTATGAGAGAAACGATGCCACAACCAGGGGACTGATATTATGTGTTAAAGTTGATTAATTGATAATTGATTGTGTTCCAATTTAAATTGCCATAGTTTTTCAAATGTAATAATATTTGATTAACTTTCCTATCTTAAGATTTAAAGTCGTGTTCTGGGACAATCCAAGCTAAAAATGACATTTGAAATTTAGGTCAAATAAATTAAGGCATGGGAAAAGTTTTAACCCCTTCGCTGTCACCCCCCTTTTTGAGAATGGGGGTTAAAATGCACTATTCAAACTTAAATGGTTGTAATTCAAGAATGCTTTGGAATATAGACCTAAATTTGGTCTTGTTTTAAAGGAAACACTCAGCAGATTATTGCTGAAGTGAAAACACTTCAAAAAATGAAAGTATGAAAAAGTTATGGAAGTTTAAATTTACAGTAAATCAAATATACTGTACTATATATTTTTATTTTATAAAATATATATATATTTTACAAAATATTTTTTACTCTAAAATTACTATAAAATCAAAAGCTATATATCTAACCAAGTCGTGTTCCAAATGTGAAGTTGATATCACAAAAATTGAAGTTCCCATGAGATTTTGTTTAGGCGTAGTACCAAAAATAGCCACCGGGTGACATACATTCCATTGAATTTAGTTGTATACATTCTGCCTTAACAAATTAATACATTTTTGTCCAAATATCAATTCTGACACAAAATTTGGAACCTTGAGACTCAGACCTTTCTGACAATATGTGTTTTGTCAAGATTATAAAAGGTTTTGATAATAAATTATGAAATATAATGAAGCCCAAAAGGGGAGAAGCCTGATACAATAATTTAGAGTACCGTTTCTATGGTAACGCAACGTTCAATTTCAAAATGGTTTTCACATGATGAATTCTGACTGAGTTTGTAAGCTTTCAAATGATACCCAATTTATGATAACTACTAAAATATGTGATGTAATAAAAAAGGCGATAAAAAAAATATATTATTATATTTTAGAGGATAATATATATATTATACTTTTTAGAGGATAATATTATATTATAATTTTTTATTGAAAAATACTAGATTATATGTTTTATTATGAACTTTTAGCATGAAAACCAAATTTCCAATTATTAAAGGTGTGTGCGTCAACTTTTTGTGACAAAGGTCAGAACTCCTGTTATGACGCAGATTTTTTTGAGGTGCACTCTTGTCAAAAAATCATCGGTTACTCTTCCTACATAATTTGTAGCAAAAAACAGCAGTCAAATATCTATTTAGGAGTCTTAGACCTTTCCAACCATATATAGTTTGTCATAATTAGATTAGGATTTAATAGTAACATAGCGAAGTAAAGTTAGGCGAACCGTATACGGGACGGTGACAGTTAAGGTGAATGACAATGCATCTTCATATAACAACATGAATGGGTTGAAATCAGCCCCTGGCAATTACAAATTCCCTTAATTTAAGAAACACCCTTTTATTGAGTTAGTGTGGATGGGTGTGTGGCTTATCCCACATCCACGCCTCTCTGAAGAATGCTGGAAAACAGCAGCCACATTACTCCCCTTTGCATTTTTCTCAACATTATCTGTCCAGTTGACCTGTTCCATCCTCAAACTCCTGACTCCTAACTGTTTGCTTGGTCCTGAACTGACCCCTATCATGCACAATTTGCCCTTCTTTAGAATAATCTTACATGTATATCCACTTAAAGGGCACATTTAGCACCAAAATACCTCACTAAAGAGGAACTTTTTGTTGCTCTTTCACAGCTCAGGAGACATAATACGTGTGTGCAATGTAGCAAAATGAAATCACTGATGTTGATTGACAGAGATGACAAACTAACAATTAAACCTCTTTTTTTTTCTAGTACACTTCCACCCTTCTCTTTCACACAGACATAAAGTCTGTGAATGAAACAAAAAGAAAGAGGAAGAAACAAGTGTAGGGGGAGTTTGGCAAGGAGACGAACGAAACAGCGCATTTGAGTTTGTAATGCAGATAGAGAGAGAGAGAGAGAGAGAGAGAGAGAGAGAGAGAGAGAGAGAGAGAGAGAGAGGTGAAAGTAATCCTCCCCTTGTGGACTAGATCATCTCCACCCCTTCACACAATGGTCCGTCCCTCTCATGCTCACTGGTTCATTTCAGATATCTGGGTCACTCCCAGCCCTCCCCTCCTTATATTTCCCTCAAACAACTCAAGCAGTCAGAACTCTGCTGCAGCGCTCTCCACCTCTCTCTTTCCCTCCCCCTCTCTCTCTCTATCGCTCTCTCTCTCTCTGCTACAGGTGTGAGGAGAACTAAACCAGCGCCTGTAACAGGCACCTGTAACTCCTGGCCAAAACCAGACCTCCATCACATAGCATTAATAATATCATAATACTGACCAGACATTATCTAGAGCATTACACACATATTCGCTTACACACCAACTTCTGTTGTGTCCTAAGACTCGTGGGCCCAGTCAGCTTCACCTGAATAGATACAGTGTGAGTTTCTATGAAGTGACATTCAAGACAGGCAGGATGAATTTTGACGAGGTCCTGGACCGGATCGGAGGGTTTGGACGCTTCCAGAAGACGCTTTATGTTTGGATCTGTCTGCCACAGATCTTCTTGGCCTTCCACATGTTGGTGTCTGTCTTCACTGGGGCCGTGCCCCCTCACCTGTGCAGATCCGCCTGGCCAACGGGCAACAGTGGTGGCCCTGGGCCGGGCCTCAACTTCAGCATTGCTCCTGGGGAGTCCTGCACATCCTTTCAGGATGGCCCTCTGTCCCGGCTTAATCACAGTCTAGCAATTACAGAGCACCCGTCTACCTCAAACAGCTGCGCAGGATGGGAGTTCAGCAAGGAAGTATTCCTCAGCACTATTGTCACAGAGGTGAGTACTAATCTTAAAATATTTTGGTTGTATAACAGGATGTGATAGTTTTGTGATGTTACATGCACAAAGTTTCTCGCATGAAGCTTTCTAAGTGTCTCTCTCTCTCTCGTGCTGTCGGAGCCAGTCATGTATTGTGGTTAGGATGGTTGGGTGCAGACTGCATTGAGAGTTTCTGGCCTCCTGTAGTGAAGGCTTCTAAATCTGCTTCATTAAAGAGGTGTAGCTCACAGGACAGCAAGATGGACCAATGGAACTGCGTTCCTTTCGGGACATGTGACCAGCGAGATCGGTTGCTCACAGCAGGACCTCAGAACCTGCTTTGATTCACAAACACTGGATCTGGGCCCAACCTCACAACAGGAGCCGGCTATCTGATACTGCTCTCTGCTGTCCAGCTGCTGGGCTGAGGTGGAGGAAAGGCCTGGGGAAGGGGCACAGAGGACACCGATCTTTCTGTAGTCCAGGTGTCTATAGTGAGAATAAAAAGCTTCTAAACCAAAGTAATTCTAAGATCCTGCCAAAGACACTGCTCTGTGGTGAAGGGAGATGAGAGTTAATCCCCAAATGTGATTCTGAAATAATTATGTACACTCGGGGGAAAAAAACATGCAAAAAATTGTTCCTCTAGGAGTACAGTAGCTTGTCACTGTGGCAGTACCCTCAAATCGACATCTTTGTACCTTACTTACCCCTAAATGGTTCATATAATCCTTAAGGGTATCCTTAAGCACAATTCCAACATCTTTGTACCTTACTTACCCCTAAATGGTTCATATAATCCTTAAGGGTATCCTTAAGGATTATATGAACCATTTAGGGGTAAGTAAGGTACAAAGATGTCGGTTTGAGTAGTAATATGTATTACTACTCAAAGGGCCAGATTTAGTAACAGCTTGCGCCAGCCCTCTCATGGCATTAAAAATTAGTTTCCCTTTAAGATGCAAAATTTATGGATGCAGATTATTTAAATGATTTACTAATGTTTGCACTAGTCAATTTACTGGTATTTGCGACATTATTTACCGACCAAAAAAAGCATGTCTTAAACCAGACGCTAATTTGCGCTTCTCTGACTTGGTGGATTGTGTTGGTCATTATGGAAATGATCCGGCTACGTCTGTGTTCTTTAATTTGCACTTCGTCAGTAGATCATTCGCAGAACTTTCCACTCCCATTTGCGCTTTTTTGGAATTGTGCTCTAAAGCTAATTTGCCCTCTTTAGTAAATCTGGCCCTAAATGTACTAATATGCACCTTTTAGGGGTAGATAATGTACAAAGTTGTGCGTCAAAGACAAGCTGTTGTACCCCTAAAGGTACAAGTTTTGCACATGTTTTTTTTTTTTTCTAGAAGTTGACTCCTCAAATCCCTCCTGAAATGTATTTTTTAAACTAAGTCAGTTTCCAGTAATAGCTGATTTATATGGTAATAAGCTTGTCATTAGTTAATCTAGATGGACCATTAGTGGGTAACTGTACCAAATAGTGGACTGGGTTTTGAGCTAGAAGACCATCTTGGCCAAGCTTGTTAGGACTGATAGATGACCTTGACCAACAAAAACCAGCCACCATACTTTGTATGACCTGGTTATGAAGTATAACACTGTTTAATTTTCTTTTTTCCTTGTCACCTTATATTACAGTGGGATCTTGTGTGTGAAAATGCCACTTTGAACAACATTGGTTCTTCTATCTATATGTTTGGGCTGCTGGTTGGAGCTGTGCTGTTTGGTGCCCTTGCTGATAAGTAAGTAGAAGAACCTCAAGGTAACTTTAAATGCGTAAAAAATGCATGTCTTGACAAGAGCTTAAATACCAGGAAGTTTTGGATATTTTACACAAACTGGTCTCTGGAAAACTCTATACACAACACACACACGTTCAGCTCAACAGCAAATCAGCAACCTGACAAATGTGACTGTTTGTGAGAAACACAGTTCACCTTCGGTCACACTTTTGAGACGTCTAGGATGGCTTCTGTCCTGTATGTGGAGTTCTATTTAAGTGGTCTTGGTTTTATTTACTGATATTTATAGGGAGAAGTGTTGATTTGACTTGAAATGCCTTCCTGTGCTGTAGCTAAATCAGAAGGTTTCTGAGGTATTGGAAAGGCAGTGGTTTTAGAGAGCGGCTCTAATAAGCAGCACATGTTCACATTTCAGAGTTGAAGAGACAATAGCAGCACTGTGGTGTGAAAACATAAACTGCTGAATGAACTGAAGGGAGAATATAGAATGGAATTCTCTAAAATAGGAGAAAGACGACTGACGTGAACCCTCTACTGCAGGGGTCTCAAACTCGCGGCCCGCGGGCCATTTGCGGCCCGCGGGGTGATATTTTGTGGCCCCCTACTTGACATTAAAGTTTAATGTTAGTGCGGCCCGTCGTTGCGTGTGCCGCGAAAAAAAATAAATAAAAAAAATGTATCCCTTATGAGCTACCATAGATAGTCTCGTGACAGCTTACGGAGGGTTTGTTGTCAATAGTTGTCATAGACAACCGCGAAGTACAAACATACTGCGCCTGGAAAAAATGAGCGCGTCGCTTCAATTATGAGCGCGCTTGCCGCGCGCCTACATTTGAAATTACGAACTTGAGCGCGCAAAATATGTGAGCGCGATATGTGAACGGCCCCTTGGCGAGCTACCACCAATCAGGCCACGAGCTACTGGTAGCTCGCGAGCGACGTGTTGGAGAGAGACCCTGCTCTAAAACAATGTGAGAATAATCACTTTGAGCTTGTAATATGTGTCCAAGAGGTTCATAAGAAGGTTTGCTTTGATTTGTGCAGTCAGTAATTTGAGACACTATACGAAGAATTCAATAAGACGGGCAGACATGACTGCAAATATTTGTATTTCAAAAGCAATAATTGTTTTTCTAAGTATAATAAAAGGAAATGTGCCTTCCAAAAAAAACATTCAATATCATTAATGTGTTGTATAAAGAAAATAAAAAGGACATAAGCAAATATAAATATCACAAATATGTGTTATAGACAAAGAAAGTTTGTAAAATGAACTTCAACTGTCAGAAGGACAGCTCATGAAGAACCAATCATGTACAGAAAGGAATGTTCAAATTCAGAGGAACTGTTCAGAAGAAACGTTAATAAATATTGAGAAGATTGGATCAGTTGTGCTCCTTTTTTGGAATACTTGAATACTATTTTTTTGTGGAATACTTCATGCGGCCCAGCCTGACCCAGACTCTACCTCTAGCGGCCCCCAGTTAATTTGAGTTTGAGACCCCTGCTCTACTGTATGACAGTGGTTGCTTCAAGACCCAGATTTTACATTGGACCCAAAATAGCACCAAAATAGGTTATTGCTCAAAATTAAACTTTGAAGGTTTCATGCCCTTGGCAGGCAGTAATTCACCACACAAACAATATTGTGGTCAGCATATAAAAATGCTTATCTTTAATGCAAGTGAAGTGCACATGTAATTATTGTAGTCTGGGTGATGTGATTTTAAGGCATAATGTTACAAGTACTCCTTGTTACAGACCGGATCGAATCCTAGTGTGTTTTCATGACAGATTGGATGTTTTAAAGCGCAGTTGAAAAAGATTTCATTCGCTGTGTGCTCTACAGTCTGTAGCAATATTTGTCTAAACGAATATAGTCAAGTGTGCATATTGTTTTGTGTTATTAGAGCCACATTTCACAAATTGCCACTGTAAAGGGGCACTAATACTTAAATACCTCAAAGCTGTGCAAATGCAGTCAATAACGTTTAAAGTTAAACAAAGTTTAATGAAGATAACATTAAAATACTAATAATTTGTGAAGCAAAATGCAAACATTATTGTACCATTTACATATAATTCTATGGATAGTTTTAATGAATAAACATTGGTGCATGTGCACATTTAAAACATCCTTTGCGTCTGTAGCAAGGACCCTCTCAAATATTATAGGTTTGTGATTGATTGGATGCATGGCCTTTGAAATCAAAGATGATTTGTTTTTAAATGTTTCTGTATACATTGTATGGCAGGCAATTTTATTCAAAGCAATTTACATTGCATCCTGGGTGTGTTGATTTGATCAGTCCAAGCAGTACCTGGTAATCAAACTCATGTCGTGTTACTAGCACCATTGTCTACTGTTTGAGCTACAGGAATGCGTGAAATATTATACGCAGCCATTTTAGAACTGACTAGTTCAGTACACCCTTGTGAAAAGGAGGACACTTTAGCATACTTTAAAAAAGTACTTATGAAAATAATAAAATGATATACTGAAGTGTGAACTGAATGTAATGTTTTTGGATCCTTAATTGCATATTACAATCATGTATTTAAATAATTACACATAGGTAAAAGCTGCAATTTAGTATATTCAAAATATATTAACATTAATTGAATTATCAAATAACACACTACAGTTTATTTAAAGCATGACAAAAGATATTAAAACATAATGATTTAGTCAGTATATGTAATGAAAGTGTAGTCTAAATACACTGGGGGCCTTTTATTACCTTAATATTACATTCTCTGCAATAGGCTTTACTTTTTTAGATCTGAAGTACACTACAGATGTACTGTACAATCAATACAATTATAAGCACACTTCTTATTCACAAGGGTAGACACATCAGAATCTATTTTCTAGGAAATTAATGACTATCTGAGCTTTATTAACTACGGTTCTGTGCTGTTTCAGGTATGGCCGCAGAATTATCATATTGACTGGTTTAGCAGTACAGGCCATCTTTGGAGTGGGGGTCGCTTTCGCCCCAAATTTCTACATTTATGTCCTGCTTCGGTTCGTGGTGGGCATGACTGTGTCTGCAGTGATTATGAATGCATTTGTGTTGGGTAAGTAAGAGATCCACTAAAGACTCCAAAATCTTGTTCTACTTGGTCAAGCTTTCCTGAAATAGATAAAATTAGCTGTTAAAAAGACATCGTAGCAATTCTTATCATTTTAGCAGCAGAGGATTTTTTCCCATAACAACAATATATTAAAACATTTTAGAATACTGCTCAATTTATTAATGAATAACTACACAGGAACAAACGAGTAACACAATATTAACACTCTAGTAACAAGAAACTGATAAATTAGTATGTGATATCACTCAGTTGAATGTGATAGTTCACGATTAGCTAAATTAGCTATTTTTTCATACTATTAAGGGACTTCTGAGAATTACTATATACAGGTCAGGGGGCGCATTACAGAAAGATCCTAACTTTAGAATCCTATCTTATCTGTTTGGTAACCATGGCAATTTCAGTTAGGACCTCATTTAGGACAAAAGCTATTACAGAATGACATTTCTGTGGATTTTTTTTACAGCAAGGGTTAACAGTGTAGGACAACCCCATTGGTGTCCTAACATCAAAAGTATTTGCAAGCCAGCTGTAAAAAAAAATCACATAATAATAGCCCTGTCTGAGAATGGTGTCACATTTATTAATGATACAAAATGAAGAACAGCGATGTTTGATGGTGGAAAGACTTTGTGAATACCCAAATGATGTGCTGCACTTTGACGACAAAACTCTGACAAATAATTACAGACTCCTATGAAATAAAAGAACAATAAGAAAGGTTTTCTACCAAGCTTATCAAAACTCCACTTAATGAGAAGCACCACTTATTTTGTTTCTCCATTCTCCAGTTTTTCCGTTTTACTTCACAGCAGCTGTTTACGTGTCGTTGGTTGCTTGGTAACAGACCTGAGAGTTGATTACTGAACTCGATGGAGGGGTTTAAGATTTCCTAACTACAGATAAGATGAGATTTTGTAAGATAGGATAAGAATTCTAAATCAATTTAAGATTTGCTTCTGTAATACAAATTGGTGAAAAATCTAAATTAACTAATCATATCTTAACTTAAGATAGAAAGTTTCTGCAATACGCCCCCAGGTTCATAATGTGAATAAGGCATACTGTATGATTAATTCTAAAAAGAAGATAATGGTAACCCACTAGTAATGACTCAAGTTTTACCAAATCCTTCAGAAGGAATTGCTAATCATTTGTATCAGTATTCTAAAGTGAAAAGCATGATGACTCTCGTCTCTGGTAATGACTGAAGTCACTGTAAGCTTTGGAGATTTGTGGAAGGTTCTAGATAGTAATGACTCAAATATTACATAATTACTAATTATTTGGAACAGTATTCTGCAGTGAAGATCATGGTAGCCCACTAGTAATGCATCCAAATTCGTCTGAGGGAATTTCTATCCTGTTTCTTGTTAGTTAATAGTTACTAGAATGCTAATAATGCGTTACTCATTTGTTCCCATGTTCATGACGGAACAGTATTCTAAAGTGTTACCCAATAAATACATCCTTTCAAATTGTACTGTGGTCCAAGACCAGACTCGATCAGAATGTGAGATAATGTTTTGTCTTAGACCAGTCCCAGTCAGTGTCTACTGATTTGGAAACTGTGGTGTACTGATTGTTGGTTGAATGTACTGTAGATAAATAAACTGTGGCAAAGCTCAACTACCACTCAATTGTTTCTGGGACTGGGACTTTCTGATTTACTGTGAGTAGAGATTATCGTCTTATGTCTGCATTTTGTCCATTTTTTTTTTGCAGGTACTGAGTGGACGGGCCCCAAAAAGCGCATGCTGGCAGGTGTCATCACAGATTATTTCTTTGGTTTTGGCTACATCCTCCTTGCAGGGGTGGCCTACCTCATCCGAGACTGGCGTAAACTGCAGTTGGCCATTTCTGCCCCTGGCTTCCTCTTCGTGTTCTACATCTGGTGAGTTGCAGAGGAGCTAGAAACTCTTCTACAGGAAACACAAATAGGCCACATAGGACACATATTCACTTCTCTAATACTGCACAGGAAGAGGGAAGGAGAGAGCGGACAAGGACAATTTGGGATGTTTATAAACAGTGTTGGGGAAAGTTACTTTGAAAAGTTATGTATTACAATATTGCGTTACTCCCATAAAAAGTAACTAATTGCGTTACTTAGTTGCTTTTTTAGAAAAGTAATGCGCTACGTTACTTTTGCATAACTTTTTTTTTTTCACCTGGGCTGGGCTTGTTTTTTTATAACAAAAAAGTAATATTTTTGGGCAAATGTAAAGACCCTTTTAGCCTTGTCTGACTTCGTACTTCCGCTCAATTTCAGTTCGCTTCTGTACTCAGTCTGAGACATCGACATGTCTCTCAGTTTTCCCCCGGCCTGAAAACAGCCGGCCAATCAACGAACAGAGGGCAGGCTGAGAGCCGTGACGTAGACGCTAAGCGCCGAGTTTAAGATTGTATTTTAGGTTAGGGAAATCGAAAATGGCCGCGGATATGGAGATACAGGATGCAATTCGCTCTGTTGTGGAGAATATTCCCGGCATTTGCAAACTGAAGCCCGAACAAGAAGAGTGTTTGTTAAACATTTTGAATGGAGGTGATGTTTCCTCAAGCTGAAGGAAATGCAAATGCACGCGTGTACAGTGAAGGGTGTAGCTCAAGCAAACCTTTCAGCTGTGCTGCCATTCTGGATCACCGAAGAATAGGATGCAGGAGAAAAAAGTTTAACAATTACTTTACCAATAAAAAAAATAAAAAAAATCTATAGTCATTTTTGCTTATTGTTTAACTGAATCATCGAAGGTCAGAAGCAAGTACATTGGTCAATAAAGTGAGATTAAATCCATAAAAATTTATGTTTTATTTGACATATTAGTTATTGGAGGTTTGCATAGTATTCTGATTCTGCATTTCACTGATTTTATTCATATTGAGGAATATAGATTTGTTTTTTGTGCAAGTGAGATGAGTAAATGCACCCTCACATTAATTTTAGAACTACAATAACCACTATGTTTACACACAACGCCACTGCACCTCAATTTGTCTCAACATGGGGACAAGAGAGCTGTCAGTCAATAAATGGGGAAACAAAGTAACTTGCGTTATTTGAAAAAGTAACTCAGATATTTTGTTGTAAATTTTAAAAGTAATGCGTTACTTTTACTAGTTACTTGAAAAAGTAATCTGATTACGTAACTAAAGTTACTTGAGTTACCCCCAACACTGTTAATAAATGTATCTTATGTAATGACATGAGACTTAAGTCAACAAGCCTATGTTCTTGCATGTGTACATGTGTTTCTGTTATTCATGTTTTTTTTTTTTTTTTTTTTTTTATACTCAGGGTGCTTCCTAAGTCTGCCCGTTGGTTAATGGCCAATAAGAAGCATGAAGAGGCATTGGATCTAATTCGCAAGGCGGCACTTATTAATGGCAAACCTCTGGTGGACAACGACTTTGAACTCTGTCAGGTGTGGCATACTCTTAGTCTCACTAGTCAGATTTTTGACTATACTGACATGACTAATTTACCGAGTCCCTAAATGGTCGTGGTTGTGTTCCTTTGCAAAGATATTTGGGTTTCCTCGTAAAACTTTTGCGTTCCCTCGCAAAAACTACACAAAGCAACATTGTGACGGCCCAGATCCGGCCCACATCTGGCACACGTGGAAAGATGACCTGGCCCACAAGCAGCATTGAATGACGGCCCTTGGGTGGCTCACTCCTGTTTGCCTGATCTGGGCCACAAGCAGGCCATAGCAATGTCAGCCAAGAGCAAATACATAAACCAGAACTGGACCTTATCTGAGCCACAAAATCTGTGTATATTAAATATGGAGTCATCTCAGCCTTTAACAAGCAGAATCACTGAAGGAAAGAAGAGAACAAAAAAAGAGACGAGCAGAAACACAAGAACTACAACTGACTTCAGCCACAGTCTTAGATTAAATCAACTGAAGACATTAAATCTGTGAAGATCTCAGCAGAGGAGGATTAAACAACTCCACAAACAAAAATAAATAAGCTTCACTTATTACTAACCAGATTTACTTTATTTCTGTCAGACGTCTACAGAAGTTGTAATAGAATTAACAGGGAAGTGTTTCATTTGAAGTCACCATAACAGTGATTAGTGTTTCCATTAGTGGGGTTCTTAACTCTTATTATATCTTTACACAATACACAATATTGACCCGCGTTCTGTTTTCTATCATGCGCCGTGCACGTTTGCGATGACGTAATATGCACGCAAACGCACCAGGGTTCGAAAGAATCAAGTTGAGTGTGAAACCAGACCAACGCTGCGGGGGGCGCCGGGAACAAACGCGCTCGGGCTCGGACCGCAGCAAACGAGCCCAGTGTAAAAGCCCCCTAACACACTGTCACAGCGGCCAAAAAAGACAAAAGATATAATAAGAGTTAAGAGCCCAACTAATGGAAACACGAATCACTGTTATGGTGGCTTCAAATGAAACACATTTGAGTTAAACCACTGTTAATTCTCAATAACAACTTTTGTAGACGTCTAACAGAAATAAAGTCAGTCTGGTTAGTAATAAGTGAAGCTGATAATGCTGTTTGTGGAGTTGTTTAATCCTCCTCTGCTGAGATCTTGAGAGATCTCCCTTATTCGGACTTGTCTCTCAGCCGCCTGCTCATAGAGATCAATTTATATTATAAAGCTTGTTTTGATGAAAATTGGGTTGTATCTCGTTGTCTACGTTACTATGATTGTAAATAGGTGACAATTTTGTTTTAACAACATTTAGCTTACGAGTTATTGATCCGGGAAGTTCGAACCTGTGAATATATTGCCAACTTTACTGAACTCCTAAGCACTCACTGACCGCATTTCTTTATATTTGAGTCCAAGTTCAAACACTGTGAAACACTCCATTGTTAATGTACAGAGCTGTCTGAAACACTGGCAGCGTGACATTTAACACAAAGTGTTTGTCTGAGCTCACAACAGGTTTTGTTAGGGAACGCAAATATCATTTGTGAGGGATCGCAAAAGTTTTGCGAGGGAATGCAAATATCTTTGCGAGGGAACGCAAAAGTTTTGCAAGGGAACGCAAAGTTTCTCGGGGGAAAGCAAAAGTTTTGCGAGGGAACGCAAAAGATTTGAAAAATATTTTTTTCACCCATCCCAAATTTTTCCCACCACCATGTCCCTTTAGGGACTCTATACTATTTGACTATTACTCACATGTAAAGTGAACAAACCAAAGTTTGTATCAAAACTTGTTTTCAAAGAAGATTTAAAGCATCACTTCACTCCTCCTCGGCTTCAGGCACTGCCATTATGTGCCCATTGGCACAACACAACATGGGGTTAGGTTTAGCTTGGAAATCTTGCTGAAAAAAATCTTAAAAGGAAGAATAATTTGTCATCATTCATTCACTTATGTCACTTCTACCCATGGAGCAAAGTACTGATCGCTCTTTGCCATGAAGTACAATAATTGAGAACCTCTAGCTTAAAAAAACACACAAAAGCATCCTATAGCCAGGGTTTTAAACCCTCCAACGACCTTCCCCAGCATTGCTCATTTTAGATCTCCCTTATTTAACAAAACTGAATTAATTCATGAGCTGATTAGAACTGGGTATGTCCAATAAGGTAAACATCCCAAATGTGCAATCACTATGTAGCGACATATCTTTTTTTCCATTCTGTGACAGACATATTTCCGAGTGAAACAGATTATTAAAAAAGTTGTTGTGATCTGAATATAAGTTTGCAGTCGATAGTAGGAAAGGCGGGGGGTTAAGCAGAGTGATTGGAGAAGTCCAGAAGTTAGGGCAGAGATGACAAATGCCTAACCCACCACCAACCTAACCTTTGACACCACTTTGCTAATTTTTGAAGTGAACTTTTGCCTTGTATGGCGATTAGATTTACTGTTTTCGACTGCCACTGTGAATTTGAGAATGTGAATATTGAATGACACATCTGGTGTGCAATACCTGTGAGTTCTCGTCCGGTGGGTAACCAGCTGCCAAGGATTCCAAAAAATTGTGCAATGTTTAGTAGGCTTTACCAGTTTAATCTTCATATTAAGAGAAATACTTTTTGTATTACACTTTGTCTTAAAAATAAAATACGCAAATTAGGCAATATCTATAAATATGCGTACATAAAGCCTAAACTCTTGAAGCTACAGATTTTCTGAGGTGATCACAATGTTTACAATGACCATGTAAAAATTGTGTTTCTGTAGATGTTCAGTGTGGATGTCGTGTGTGTGTGTGTGGGGGGGGGGGGGGGGGGGGGGGGATATCCTGTTTTGTGCTGTAGTGAATGGGAAATTATAAATACAATTGTATACAAACTCTGGACTTTTTTAAAAGAAAGAAAACAAGCATTTGATTATACAGAAATCTTATATCCAACCTTGCTATTATCATTGTAACGTTAACTTAAAGTGAAAAATACAAAACAACAGGTTTATTCCCTGTGTTGCAAGGTAAAACTTTTACAACTATTGCCTCCCTTGCATTTGCAGTACTTTACAACAACAGATACCAGTGACCCGACAGGGACACCCATCCTTGTGTGCACACTTGCCACACAAGCAGGGATCTGGCAAACCTTCAGGTTTTGAGATTACAATCTCAGGGACTAATAAACTGCCCTTTCTTACAAAACCATAAGCATCTGCATTTGAGATTCAGGTGGCGTCTGTAACGGTATGATCTGACCACAGCACTTTCTCCCAAGCCTTCTTTGAAACATTAGATGTTTATTGGCAAACTTCAGACTGGCCTGTACATGTGCCTTCTTGAGCAGGGGGACCTTGAGGGTGCTGCAGGATTTTAATCCATTGCGGCGTAGTGTGTTACCAATGCCCAACTGCATTGAGATCATTAACAAGCTCCTCACGTGTAGTTCTGGGCTGATCCCTCACCTTTCTCATGATCATCCTTACCCCATGAAGCGAGATCTTGCATGGAGCTACAGACCGAGGGCAATTGATTTTTCATTTAGTATTTCTTCCATTTCTGAATAATCACACCAACAAAAGTCTCCTTCTCACAAAGCTTCTTGCTGATGGTCTTGTAGCCCATTCCAGCCTTGTGCAGGTCTACAATCTGGTCCCTGACATTTGACAGCTCTTTGGTCTTGCCCATGGTGTTGGAGAGGTTGGAATGGAAGATACAGATTCTGTGGACAGGTTCCACTGACATTAGGACATTAGGAGTAGCATCATTTGCACGGGCACGCTGAGCTGCAGCCTTTTGGAGACGAGCTCGGGCACAGTTAAAAATCTTTTCCAGATTATCTCGATGGTCAGCCATCCAATCACAATTCGTTTGACCATAGTCATCCAATCCTAATATAGCATCTACAGGTAAATGTGGTTCTTGTCCAAACATCAAGACAAAAGGACAATAGCCTGTAGACTGGTGCTCTGTAGTATTATATGCAAAAACCACCTGAGACAAATGTGACGGCCAATCGCATTTTTTCTCAGCAGGAAGGGTGCGCAGCAAATCGTGCATGGTTCTATTGAACCGCTCACACTGACCATTCCCCTGTGGCCGATATGGTGTAGTATGAGTCTTGGTAATTCCATAAATTTGACAAAGTTCTTGAATCAAGCGGCTCTCAAAGCACCTTCCCTGATCTGAATGCAACTGTCGTGGGACACCAAACATATAAAACCACCGTTCCACCAGTACCCGAGCCACTGTCTTAGCAGTCTGGTCTTTAGTAGGGATTGCCTGGGTAAATTTTGAAAACACATCTGTCATAATACATTTTCCATTCCATTGGATGACGGGTCCAGCAGTGTGAAATCAATAGCTAAGATATCTAGCGGTCTATCAGCTAGCAAATGCCCCATGAAGGTACGCACCTTCGTTCTAACTATTTTTGACAGGGTACAGCGCTGACATTTCCTACACCAATCCTCCACATAGCTATACATCCCTGGCCAATAGCACCGAGCCCTAACTAACCTTGCTGTTCGCTCCATCCCCTGATGACCATGGTCATCATGAAGGCAGGTGAGAACCTCTTCCCTAAGGGCAGATGGTAACACCACCTGTCGAACTTCCTTATGACCTTCTTGTGGCCAAAATCGTCGGTACAAGACGCCATCTACCTTCTCAAATTTCTCCCACTGACGAACTAACTCCAAGACCTCGGATCGTTCAAGGATACGTTCCTGAGATGTTGGTGGCTGCTTACGGTCCCAGTAAACCATGAACCTTCCTATAACTGGGTCAGCTTCCTGCAGCACACCCAAATTATCCTTTGACGGTCTAGGAAAGACCGATATGCTATTAGCCGCTGCTACTGGACCATGATCAGAAACGGACTGCCGTATCTGTTCAGGCACAAGTGCAATTGAAGCTAGTCCCACCAAAGGGGCGGCGCTTTGTCTAGCCAAAGCATCAGCATTGCCATTATTGCGTCCAGGCTTATATTTTATGTCCAAGTCAAATTCTGCGAGTTGATTGACCCACCTTTGTTCCAGTGCCCCCAACTTTGCTGTCTGCAAATGACTAAGAGGGTTGTTATCAGTATATACTGTACATTTATTGCCCAGCAAATACTCTCTGAATTTTTCAGCTACGGCCCATTTTAGAGTCACAAATTCCAACTTCATTGAACTATAATTTCGCATTTACGTTCTGCTGGCCTCAACCCTCTACTTGCAAACGCAACTGGTCGACATCTGCCCTTTAGTTCTTGTGACAAAACAGCACCCAAACCCTGAAAGCTTGCATCGATCTCCAAAATGAATGGCTTGCTGAAATCAGCATAAACCAGCACAGGGGCACTGGTCAAAGCTACCTTAAGGGACTGGAATGCGTTCTCACAGGCTTCCACCCACTTATCCCCCAACTCAACTTTTGGCCGCTTGGTTTTCTGATCCCGAATGACCTCCGCTACTAAAGTATTCAACGGCTTTGCAATACACGAAAACCCTTTTACAAATCGTCGATAGTAACTAGCAAAGCCTAAAAACGACCTCAATTCTTGAAGAGTCTGTGGCCGTTTCCAATTCTCCACCGCAGCTGTCTTATCTGGATCAGTACTAACTCCCGCAGCGGAAACTACATGTCCCAAGTAACGCACTTCTGATCTAAAAAAACAACATTTACTAAGTTTGACTTTTAAATGTTGCTGTCTTAAACGACTCAGTACCAGTTCTAATCGCTGCAGATGTTGTTCTACTGTTGTTGAAAAAATAATCACATCATCAAGATAAAGCAGTAGGGACTGAAAACTTTGGTCACCAAAAATTCGCTCCATGAGCCGTTGTAAAGTACTTGGTCCATTGCAAAGCCCAAAAGGCATCCGGAGAAATTCAAAGAGTCCAAAAGGAGTACAGAAGGCAGTCTTAGGACGATCAGCTTCAGCCACTGGCACTTGATTGTAGCCACTTGCTAAATCTAATGTAGAAAACCACTTTGCCCCAGTAAGTGCTTCTAAAGACTCCTCAATCCTAGGAAGAGGATAAGCATCCTTCTGAGTCTTCGCATTTAGCTGGCGATAATCTACGCACATTCTTAAGGAGCCATCCTTTTTCTTCACCAGCACAATCGGGGATGAATATGGACTACAACTCTCCCTAATGACCTGGCTCTCCAACAGTTGTTTAATGTGAGTTTTCACTGCTTCAAACTGACTAGGGGGAACGCGGCGATGGCGCTGACGCACCGGGACATCATTCAACAAAGGGATTTGGTGCTCTATTAATTTAGTTCAACCCAGGTCACACTCATCCTTAGCAAAAACATCCTGATATTTATACAAGAGGTGCTGGACTACTTCCCTTTCCGACTCTGAAAGCCCCGGTAACTCAACCCTTCCCAGCTCACTGTGGTTTGAAATAGAAGCTGACATTTGGCACTGAATAACTATTTCATTCACATTACCTTGCAAATTTTCTTCAAAGAAAATTTCTTGGTCAGATTGATTAATCACCTCAGCGCTAACCAAACTACCCAACATAGCCTTTTCAGGTAAATATACCATCTCTGTGCTGACATTAACCACGGGTACACAGATTGTATTTTGGGAAGACTGCAACAATGAAGGAGAAATCAAAATTCCTGCAGGTAATCCACCACTACCATCACTGCTCATTGGTTCTAGTAGAGTGACTGCATTTGAAACACTCCTGGGGCAGTAAGCCGTAACTAACCTCATTGTTCCAGCTGGAATCTGCACTGGATGCTTAGGTTGCACTCGTACATGGCCAATGAAACCAGGACAAGATGGATCACTAGTTCTCTGGCACTGCAACAATGCATCCTTCCAGCCTGATTCTGCCTGCTTAACCTGTGGGACTGAAAATTTCCTGGGTCTTTCACAACCAACACACCTTGTTTAGATATACTTTTCCCCAAAACGTTAACATCAGTTTCAAAATACCCCACATAGGGAATGTCCAAACCATTGGCAGCTTTTAGCTGAAGCCAACCACAATCCTTCAAAGCGTCTGGTGCTAGCTGTCGAAAATGTTGGTCAAAACAAGACTCTGTTATTGCGGTCACCATTGACCCAGTATCCAGCAGACATACCACAGGAACACTCCCCATTTGAATGGTAACAGTGGGACATTTGCCAATAAGACGTTGCATCACCGTAGGACAAACAAGACTAGAGGTCTTTAAACCTCCACTGTCCACTTCGGTAGTCTGACTAGAAGCAACAGGGGAGGTAAGTTGATGATTCTCCTCCACAAGGGTTTCTCTTGTCATCACCCTAGCTGGCCTAGATCCAGACTCAACAGGCCATGGTTGCCTACAATATCGAGCAATATGACCCAGTTTATTACAACGTAAACACCTTCGAGAAGTATCTTGCCTTGTCAAAACAGAGGAGGGTTCATTACTCAAGGGTTTAAGATAATCGAGACGCTTAGTAATCTCGTCAATTTGAGCTTGTTGTTGCTTTAACAGCTCCTTGATTTCATTTAAATCAGTAAATTCCTTATGCATCTGTGATTCAATTACTCTACCCTGAGCAGCGTTACCCCACAACTGAGCAGCAGAGGGAATAACTTCCCTCTTCCCTTCCTCATTCCATCTTATAGCTTCGCTTCGAACATCAAGTAAAGTACCGTGTGGAGTTTGTCTTACAAAGCGTTTGAGTTCGCGTTTAAGCGCTACATCATTAACATGCTCCACAAACTGATCACGGAGAACTTGGTCAGCATTTGGGACACCATCTGGACGACTTGTGAGAATAGAGTCCATCAAAGACATAAGTGCATGAGAAAATTCAACAAGGGATTCACCCTCTCTTTGTTTTCGATCATAAAACCCCTTCTGCAACTGCACAAATGTTTGTTTTGCACCATACATACTTCTTAACACCTTAAATATGAGTTCAGGAGTTTCTCGTTCAGCTGTGGGTCGGAGTTTGATCTCCCTTCTGGCTTCCCCTCCCAAATAATCCATCAGAAATGCTACCCTTTCTCGTACAGTCCAACTCCCATCCCCAATGCAGGCCTCAGCCTCCTCAATCCAGTCCTCAATGTTCAAATTAGAGTCCAAGTCCCCGAAGAACCGGCGACACTTCCGCTCCCGAGGAATATACATCACCCTGCTGAAAGGCACAGAAGGTGGAGCATTAGGGTTGGATACAGGTTGATTAGTGTCCGGGTTGGATTCGGAATGTTCTTCCATTAACTGTTGATTGGTAGCGCGTAGACTACGTATCTGCTCCCGCAACTCTGTCAACTCCTGCTCCATTGCGCCAATTTTTCTTGCACGATTGCCGTTTACTTATACAATTACCTATTAGATACCGACATAAAAAATAAAAAAAAAATAAAAAAGGTGGCTATCAACACATCAGAAAAAAATGAGAAGAGAAAAAAAATTGCACATTAAACACACTGCAGTGCTGCCCAAAAATCAAACAACCCTGCCGACTACGCCATTTGTAACCCCGTCATCTCACAAGAGAGGAGAACTCAAAAAGGGCCACAACCACAGTGTGTTTCGTTGCAAAGATAACAAAGTTTATTGCACAATATTCACAAGGATCACATGGAAATTATCCATGTAAGATAATAAAGAATCAGAACTGGCAAAGAGAGAAAACAAACAAAATTGTGACCGTTACAGCCAACAGGGTTCCCAATCCTATCCAATGGAAATTGCTCTGAAACTGTGTGCACACTCACAAGTTCACCAAACACAAATTCACTCCAACTTCCACAATTATGAAGTAAATCAAACTACTACAATCTATTCCCCAAACCTTCACAGAGTAAACCATATACAAGAAAATGGGAACCCCACCGTCAGTTGTAGGTCCAAAACAAACAAAACAAGACACAAAAACAATTTCACAAATTAAATCAATCACTTTGCCACTTCCATACACAAGACTCAATTTAACATTAAAGTCATCTCTTCAGACACCCATTAAGCCACCAATGCTTTCACTAAAGTAAACGGCAATCATGCATCATCTGTAAAAAAACAAAGAAAGAATACAAATTGATGATTGCCCTATAAAATATTTAAAAAAATTAAAAACCTTAAAACCATTAAACATAACACACAAATTACAATTATAAAATGAAGCTTAAAACCAAATTCAATAATTCAATTAAAATCAGTACCTGTATTCTCAAATATATCTGCTTAATTCTCTGAGGCACCAATCAACACCATTCCCATCAGAATACTAAAACAGAAAACAAATACAAACATATTAAAACTAGACAAACTCACTCTAGTCATCATAAATCACAACCCTTACCTTCCCAATTCAGTTATATGCTGCTCATTAATCAACTTAGTTTTTCATCTGCATTACACAGCCTTGAAAGACACCAAACAGCTTTTCCTGCTTAACACATGGTACCACAAAGAGGAAGTCTAAACAGTTTGGTTTCCCTATATAGCGTCTTAAATCATGGGATTTGTAGTCCATCTAGTTTGTAGTCCATCTTCTACCCCATTACATAAGTACAGAAGTTAAAGACATCTTATATAAAGTGTGACCGGATTTTCATTTATGGATGCACCTACCTATTATGGAGCTATGGAGTTGTATTTGCATTTTATCTGGCATGTAACAAAGTTACCATTCTCTTCAGAAAGAAATATTCAAAATAGTCTCAGTCTCCAACTTGAACTTTGGGGGTATGTAGTTTAAGAATTCCTTGAGTTAAAATGGGTTTGTTTTGTTTTGTTTTGCAGAGCGCTAAAAACTCAGAGAAAATTCAAGACCTGAGGAAGTACACTGTCATCGATCTGGTCCGAACGCCCAGAATGAGGAAACAGTCCCTCATTCTCTTCTACTTGTGGTAAAAATTCACAGTAAACTGTAAACTACCCAACTTAATCAGAATCCACCAAACTGTAAAGAGCTCGAGTATTTAAAGCGGCAGATGACAAAACTGCAGAGCACACTTAGAATAAACAGAATGCTATCTGTCTTCTGGTGTGGATGATGTGAACGGGCCTTAAGAGATAAACAGACAGCTAACAACAACATCTAGTCTTCACTGGACCTGCAAATTACTTGAACTTTATGAAGGGATGACTCTGAAACTCTCAGGCTAAAAGGAAAACGTACTCGGTTACTAACGTAACCTCGGATCTCTCTAGAGAGGGAACGAGTACTGCGTAATAGCTTACGCTAGGGGAAAACCTCTTTTCCACGAGATATTGAAGCCAAAAATTATCCTTAATTTTTTATTAATGTAAAACGCTTTGCAGCAGCAAGCAGACACAGGCGAGACAGCTCGCGCGCCTATTGGCTGCTCTTGCGGCAAATGCAGCAGCCTATCGAGAGAGACTCTGCGTGACGTAATGACCAATGGGGGCAACTCGCGCCCATATCGTCACGTCCCGCCAGAAAAGGCGTGGTCTCACTCTATAAATATGCTCGTTAGGCTGGTACAAGCTGGTTTTCATCGCCGAAGCGAACCAGAGCGTATTCCAAGCACGGCAAGATACGCAGTACTCGTTCCCTCTCTAGAGAGAACCGAGGTTACGTTAGTAACCGAGTACGTTCTCTTACGAGAGTATCTCTCGTACTGCGTAATAGCTTACGCTAGGGGAACACAATGCAACACGCCGTGCGTACAGGGATCCAACACCAAAGTCCCAGGGGCCAAAGCCCAGGGCTCATATAGTGCATAATCACCATAAACTCACATAGAGTGGAGGAAGAGAGGCTGGAAGCGTCATTCCTAATAAAATAGCACCCAGCGGGGCTATCATATGACAATAAAACGCGCAGCCAGGGTGAAAGCTTTCAGCCTGATCTGGGTGGCCATACATGTGTCAACACTCATGGGGCTGCAGTAAACTCAGCATCTGGGCCGCACAGGGGGGCAGATAGCACTGAATTTTAGACCGCCAAAAGCTTAGCTTGTAAGGCGGGTACCTCCAGGTTATAGTATTTTATAAATGTAGACGGCGAGGCCCAGCCCGCGGCCGTACAGATATCTTGCAGGGAAACCCCGCTAGACCATGCCCACGAAGAATCCACGCCTCTTGTGGAGTGCGCTCTGACACCCAAGGGGCACTGCAGGCCCTTTGCAGTGTAAGCGAGCGCAATGGCATCCACTATCCATCTGGATAGGCTCTGTTTTGAGGCGGCAAGTCCCTTGGAGCGCCCGCCAAACAAAACAAAAAGCTGCTCCGTCTGTCTGAAAACAGACGAGCGCGACACATAAGCTCTTAATGCCCTGACGGGGCAAAGGAGACTCGCGTCCTCCTCCTCATTGAGAACCGGAAGGGCGGACAGGGAAATTACCTGGGCCCTATACGGTGTATTGAGGGATTTCGGCACATACCCGTGCTTAGGTTTGAGAATGACCTTCGAGTCATTAGGCCCAAACTCCATACATGACGCGCTTACTGAAAGCGCCTGCAAGTCCCCTATGCGCTTCACTGAAGCAGAGCCATGAGAAACACTGTTTTGAACGACAGGTGTTTCATGTCCACCAGCTGGATTGGCTCGAAAGGGGCGCCTTTCATGGCCTCCAGGACTGTGGAAAGGTCCCACGTTGGGACTGAAGGGGGCCTGGGAGGGTTTAGCCTCCGAGCTCCCCTAAGGAAACGCACGACTAAGTCGTTCTTCCCCAGCGACTGGCCAGACACCGGTTTTGCAAACGTTGCTATGGGCGCCACATCTACTTTGAGCGTGGATGGGGTCCTGCCCTTATCCAGTAGCTCTTGAAGGAAGGAAAGCACTTCCGAAACCCCGCATTCCACAGGTGAAAAGCTCTGGGCTTGAGACCATGCAGAGAAAAACAGACCATTTCGAGGAGTAGAGCCGCCTGGTAGACGGAGCTCTAGCCTGCGCGATCGTGTTTAACACTCCTTCTGGGAGGCTAGCGGGTACCCGTTGATGACCCATGCGTGCAGGGACCACAGCTCCGGGCGAGGGTGCCAAATCGAGCCTTCCGCCTGAGAGAGGAGGTCTCTCCTCAATGGTACAGGCCATGGGGCAGTGCTGGTCAGCTGCATCAGGGCAGGGAACCACTGGTTTGTCCAGAGCGGAGCTACGAGCAGCACTGGGCATCCGTTTTCCCTGATTCGTTCCAACACCTGAGGCAGGAGCGAGACAGGAGGAAAAGCATATAGGGGGCAGCGGGGCCAAACATGAGCCAGCGCGTCCTTGCTTTTCGAGAAAAACTTCGGCAATGAGCGTTTTCGTGGGACGCGAATAGGTCCACCTGTGCTCTGCCGAACGTTTTCCACAGCAGCTGGACCGTCTGCGGGTGCAGCGACCACTCCCCTGCTGGAACATTGTTCCTGGACAGTCTGTCTGGTCCCACATTCAGGTGACCAGGCACGTGTGCTGCTCTCAGTGAGAGCAGGTTGTGCTGAGCCCAGACCAGGAGGCGTTCCGTCAGCCTGTGAAGGTTTCGTGACCTGACACCGCCCTGGCGATTTATGTATGCTACCACTGACATGTTGTCCGACCGGACCAAGACGTGGTGGCCTGTTACCTGGGGACAAAAACGCCGTAGCGCTTTGTCGACTGCTATCATCTCCAAGCAGTTTATGTGAAGGAGCTTTTCCCGTTCTGACCACAGGCCAGCTAGCGGTCTGCCCTCGAGCAGCGCTCCCCACCCCGAGGGTCGGTCGGTTATTTTCCAAGGTTCCAGAGCTGAAACACACTGTAGGTCGACCCTGAGGCGAAACAGACCCGCTGTCCATGCCCTGGGTGGAACCCGCGCTTTCAGCCACATCTGCAGTGGGCGCATGCGAAGCAAGCCCAACTGGAGTACAGAGGCCGCTGAGGCCATCAGCCCCAGCATTTTCTGAAACCTTTTGAGCGGAACTATCGAGCCGTGGCGGAAGGATTTTGCGACGCGCTGAATATTTAGTCCGCGCTCTGGTGACAGGCGTGCCGTCATGGATAGCGAGTCTAACACTGTTCCCAGAAAGGAAATTTTCTGACTGGGAGACAGTGAGCTCTTCGCCCAATTGACTGTGAGGCCCAGCTCCTCGAGGTGCTCGAGTAATGCGGCCCTGTGTTCTATGAGCTCCGATCGTGATCGAGCTAGAATCAGCCAATCGTCCAAGTAGTTCAGGACTCGCATGCCCTGAAGTCTCAGGGGTGCGAGCGCCACGTCCATGCACTTCGTGAATGTACGAGGTGCTAGGGACAGGCCGAACGGCAGGACTGTGTATTGATATGCCTGGCCCTTGAAAGCGAATCTCAAGAATCGCCTGTGATGGGACGCTATTTGTATTTGGAAATAGGCGTCTTTCAGATCTATTGACATAAACCAGTCCCCGTGGCGCACTTGCGCGAGGATTTTCCTGGTCGTAAGCATTCTGAACTGGCATTTCACAAGCGCTCTGTTCAGCTGTCGCAGATCTAAAATGGGTCTGAGACCTCCATCTTTTTTCGGTACCAGAAAATATCTGCTGTGTAGGCCCCCTTTGCTCTGAGCTTGAGATAAAGGTTCTATAGCACCTTTGCTCAGTAGTTTCGCTATCTCGGCTCGAAGTAGATGAGATACTTCGTTTTTTACCGTCATCTCGACGCGCGCCGTATAACGGCGGGGACGTCGAGCGAACTGTAGCGAATAGCCTCTTTTTATAGTGTTCAGCACCCATTCTGATACCCCAGGAAGCTGTGCCCACACTTTCGCGTGAATAGCTAGGGGTAGAATGAGATCTGGGCTCTGGCCGAGACATAGTGACGGCAAGGGAGCTCCGGCGTGCTGTAACGCAGACACTGTGTTTACAGTGTGTGAGGCGGGGGGCGCGCCGATCGCGGCGGGCAGCCTGGCCGCGCTCAAAACCCTTATAGCAGTTTGCTGAGGGAGAGAGAGCGGGGCGAGCCCCGTGGGGCTTAACATGTCTGTGAGTGAATGTGGGCGCAGGACAGCGGGCACATTTACTGCACTGAAAAAACACCGTCGGCCTGAGCTGACTGAATGCGTGTTGGTTTCGTTTTTACAGAACCCGTGGGACATGTGGTGTGTAGTGTTTGTGGGCACTGAGACGTAGGCACATTCACTACATTCAGTGCACAATCGACATGAGGCGATTTTGTTTGTGCGAGCCCTGCATTTTTGCGGGCTGTGTTTGTGTGTAGAAATGAGCCCTGGGTTGTGGGCATTTTCAATACACTCATAACACCATCGGCTGTGGCCGGAATACCAGAAAATACACCGTTTATGTGATTTATCTGGGTCGCCGTGGGAACAGCATTTGTGTGCAGGCAAGCGGGCATGGTACTGGCTTGCTTACTGCAAAATACACTGGAACAGTCAGATTTTCTGGAACTGAACGAGCGAAAATTTCAGTGGAAGTCTGGCCACGGCGAGACTGAAACACCGTCGATTTCCTAGGAGGCTAGGAAGACTTGTGTTGGTTTCGTTTTACAGAAACCGTGGTAGTGTTTGTGGGCACATTCACTACATTTAATGCACAATTGACATGCGTCGATTTCATTTGTGCGAGCCCTGTACCGTGGCGGGCTGTGTTTGTGTGTAGAAATGAACACTGGGCTGTGAGCATTTTATTACACTTATAACACCATCGGCTGTGGCCGGAAAACCAGAAATACAATGATTACATGATTTTTCTGGGTCGCCGTGGAAACGGCCTTTATGTGCAGGCAAGCGGGCCGTGGTACCAGCTTGTTTACTGCAAAATACACTGGAACAGTCGCATTTTCTGGAACTGAACGAGCGAAAAGTTTCGGTGGAAGTCTGGACGCGGCGAGACTAAATTTGTATCTGCTGCGAGAGCCGGGATCGAACATGGGTCTCTCGCGCGAAGGCTTCGAGTTCCGCCACTGGGCCACAGGGAGAACTACATTAGCGCAAGCAGATAAGAGAGTGTCATCACAGTTTTGTGTGTGTCGGCGTTTGTATGCAGGTGTGCGTGTTATACAACAGGCTCATTGCTGCAATAATGACATTTTCAGCCGCTCAAACTAGGAGCTGAGAAATGTTTGAGAAATGGAGATTAGTCCGGCCTCGGCGGGGACTAAAACACACTCTTTTCTCATTTGCCGGTGACGCACGCCCATGGGGGGCGGGGTAGATTTCTTATAACGTAAAGAAAGCTAGCCGCGGTTTTAGGGCTCGCGGTCTTGATGCTGGCCCGTTTCCCTGACGACTCGCGGACAGAAGGGGGAGGTCCACAGAGCTTGCCTGTTGCGCGGCGGTTGCGCGGGCGCCTCCCAGTCGAGGCCGATGCTTTCCACGGCCTGAGAGAGCAGACGCATCAGCTCAGTCTCAATGCCGGCTCTCTTACCAGTGGTTGGGCGGGAAACGCTAGCGGAGGGGAGGTCCACGGAGCTCGCCCAATCCTCGCTATCAGATGCCAGAAGAGAACAAGCCTCGGTGGGTTCGTCGAACTTGTGGACGGACCCGGCGGCAGGCGGCGGCCGTTGTCCGTCAGTGAGCGACTCGAGCGAAGCCGGCGAAGCTGGCGGGCGAACCGGCGAGCTTTGGCGGGCTGGAGAGAGCTCGGGAGCGCGCTGGGCGCGGCGCTTCTTGCAGCGCGGCACCGCGGCGGGCTGTGGTGAAGGCTCGGAGAATGATGCCAGGCGAGTCCTCAGAGTCCCCATAGGCAAAAGCTCGCAATGAGGGCATCCGCCGTCAGCAAGCGCGATGGCCGCGTGATCCTCACCCAGGCAGGACACACAGATGACGTGACGGTCCCCGTCGCTGAGTGGGGCGCGGCACGAGCCACAGGATGGCATCTTTAAAAAGACGCAGCTCTTTTGTGATGAGAAGTGTGAGTCGCGTCAAGTAAGCGAGCAAACACTCTCAGCAGAGTAAGGATACAAAGTGATTCAAAAGGATATAGAACGCCGGAAAGCGCAGCAGGTACGGCAGTTGAAGGCGGCGAGGCCAGCAACTCCAGAGCTCGTCCCGCTGAAAAGCTTGCTTCGACGGCGCGGCTTCTCACTCCGGATCCAGCGATTCGTGTGCTTCGCTGAAGAGATGAAAATCAGCTTGTACCAGCCTAACGAGCATATTTATAGAGTGAGACCACGCCTTTTCTGGCGGGACGTGACGATATGGGCGCGAGTTGCCCCCATTGGTCATTACGTCACGCAGAGTCTCTCTCGATAGGCTGCTGCATTTGCCGCAAGAGCAGCCAATAGGCGCGCGAGCTGTCTCGCCTGTGTCTGCTTGCTGCTGCAAAGCGTTTTACATTAATAAAAAATTAAGGATAATTTTTGGCTTCAATATCTTGTGCAAAAGAGGTTTTCCCCTAGCGTAAGCTATTACGCAGTACGAGAGATACTCTCGTAAGAGAACTACCTCTAAATAAATAAATAACATTACAGAAAACCTCATATCAAAACACTATAGTGTACTGTTCACAAAAGCTGTTGAAGAACTGCAGGGCTTTTGCGGGGGTGTGGTTTTGGTAATACTCTACTTCAGTCGTATATTTCGGCCTTTTTCTGCTGTGGCTCTCATTTCCCTAAGTTTGGCTTGTTTCTCTTTTATGTTTCATAATAATGATGATAATAATAAGAATAATAATAAAACCTTCTGCCATAGTTCTGAAGTTGGTTCTTTTCCTTATTTATTTTTAGAACTTACAGAGGGTGCTTTATCACAGGAATTACCTATATCCCTGCTTCACAAGATGGTGGCATTTGATTAAGCTGATTTTGTTTGTTACAGGTTTGTGAACGTCCTGGTGTACTATGGGCTATCACTCAATATTTCAGACTTTGGTATGAATATCTACCTGACACAGATGATCTTTGGCTTGGTGGAGATGCCAGCACGTACCATTACTCTCTTCACCCTAAACCGCTCACGCAGGATATCCCAGTTAGCATTCTTGGCAGTAGGTGGCCTGGCCTGCCTTGTAACCATATTCATTCCAGATGGTAGGTGAAAAAACAAACTTTACTTAACTAGAACTCTAAAATCACTTGGACTATTAATGTCCCCTTTTTAACTGGTTGTTATAATTGATCAAATGTTGTGCCAGTTATATTTGTTTTGCATCAGTACTTCTGAAAACTTTAGTTGGTTACAGACATTGTGCCTTTGACATGAGTGTTTGAGATCTACAGGTTTAAGGGGCCAATGCAGAGCCTTTTTTTTTCAGCCCAGAACCACCTTTTCTGTTGTAGAAACAGTTACAGGTTGAGCACCAGTTCTGGCACACTGTTGATGGAAAAGAAAAGGGGAGCATGCTCATTGTTTCTCTATAGGAACTTCAAGATACTGTATCTAGAAATTCACAACATTTCACATTTAAGAACGTCCTTTTCCTACAGTTTGTGGTTTCTTGCCAACGCTCTCGAAAAATAAAGATACCCCAAAGATGTTGACATACAAAGCAACAGTGTGGATGAGCTACCATTGGTTTTACTTGATACATAATATTTACCTCCAATAAACACACCACAGTCTACATTTGATATATTGATGTCATAGCTCCTCAGTGATCAAGCCATTGTACTACTGTTGATGGAGCAGAAGCCTTGAGAATTGTGGGCCACATTTAAAACCTGGACTTACGCAAACTGTTTATATAATTTGGAGAGAAAAAAAATTATACCATAATTGAAATAAGGGTTATAAGGATAAGGATTATATAAAAAAGGATTCAAAATAAAGATTAGTGTGGTAACCTTCCCCTCCAGGCAATCAGGTGTTGTGAAACAAGACCATCTCTTTCTTTCATAACAAACCTCACCCATCCTTAATTTCTGTTCTCATAGATCTGTCCATTGTTCGCACTGTACTTGCCATGGTGGGCAAGTTTGGCATCACAGCATCACTGTCCATTGTGTACATTTACTCAGCAGAGGTCTTCCCAACAGTCATCAGGTGAGCAAGGGCAAGTGTTTCATAAAGTGTAATAACTTTAAAGCTGCTTGGTTTTCTTTAAATATGAAAAACTTGGACAGTAATAGAATTCAGTCATAAATGCAGACTGTATAATCGTAAGGTTCTGTAATCTAAGCTGTTCCAAAAAACTAGTGAGTTACCTCATTGTATACTGCTCATACTCTGCTGAACAAAAAAACAAAAACAGCCTAAGGCTGTTAGTTGTTCTCCTAGGTGAAGTTAGTTCTGTTTTGAAGGCATTACAAGAGTTTTGGGAAATTTTCACCTGATTAAACTGAGAGATAAATAAGATAAACACCAGCTTGGCCTAGATTAAATAAACCATCAAAGATCAGCAAACCCTCGAGTACCAAAGGGCATAAAGCACCTGCACGCGCTACCTTTTCTTAGTTGTCATTTGCTTTTCACAAACTCTGGAATTTTTTACACTCGGATCGTGGTTTTATGGACTTCACTATTTTCTGCAGGAGGACACATCTTTTGGAATAGCCTCTGTCGGACATGTTTGTCCTATCAGCCAGGTTAGTTAAAGTCATTACTGCAAGCCGCCCACGCTCGCACTCTGTATCAGGCTGCCCATCTCGTGCTCTTCTCTATTTTCCCGTTCTATGGCTTGCCCGCCTGTCGGATTACTCTTTTATTTCATCATGGCTTTCTCTAAACTCACAACTGCTGCCCTCAGGGACAACCAGTCACGTGCCTACCCGGCCGCGTGCGGCACCCTCATTGCTGCTAGGGATTCCCATCCTTACTGTGTGATGTGTATGGGCCTTAATCTTACCGAAGAGGCTATTGATTTCCCAGAGAACTGTAGCCATTGCCTGGTGCTCCCCAAGAAACTCCAGTGCCACAAGCTCAAAGTGCTATGTCATCCCGTCATCTGTGAAGCCTCAGACGGACGTTCCCGCTACTTTACCCCGATTGGTCTTCTTCAAGGCTTGTGAGCGACCAGCCGCTCACCTCAATATCGAATGGCCGGCCCTTCAAAGTGCCTCTGACCAAGTCGGGACGCCTATGACAGGAAACTTCTTGGACCCCCTCCCGGCCCTAGAAAGCAGGTTTTTCCTGGTCCACCCTGCATGTGCCTGCATGACACATTGCTGGGGAGACTCTTCTTAGCCTCGGGCTCTTAGACCCTCTACCCCTATATAGGTCACTAGCATGTTATTTGTACCCTCACCTGGCACCATAAAATGTCATCATTTTATGTGTTGTCAGGTTTATTCATGAATGCATGTTATCACATGCCGAACACGAGATGATGAGAGAGAACAATAGGTTACTGTTGGTAACCCCGGTTCTCTGAAACATAGTGTGGAAAGATCCACCAAGCTTGCCATACTTCCTGCACAAGAAGCTCACTGAGGAAAGGTAGCATGTGCAGGTGCTTCATGCACTTTGGTACACTCAAAAAAATTATATGTTGGCTTTACTTAACTTTTTTATGTAAACAGGTTCCATCGGTTCCACATAACTATGTTTCGTTAAACAAACATAATATGTTCATGTAACTTCAACATCATGGAATTTGGTCATTTTAAGCGACCCAATTAAACTCTGAGCTAATGAGTTAATTAAGTGAATAATTGAGTGATGATTGAGCATTATTGAAGACACCTGATGTTAACAAGCAGAATCTCTGAAGGAGAAAACCGGAATGTTTAAGTCACCATTATGGAGATAAGTGTGTGTTTTAGTTGGGCTCTTGACCATTAACTTATTAACTTTAGATTTTGTTTGGTTGCTGTACATGAGTTATAACAGCCGGCTGAACAATAAACAAAGGTCATCTGATAGTGTTGGTTGTGTTTTAACATAATCATTATTTCACAATCACTTGAGTCACTGAACTTATATTAAACCGAATTTCTGAGTTAAGTTTACCTTACGAATAATAGCAGCACTGTCATTGTAGAGCATACTATTTCTATACTTTTCAATGAAATTCAAATGATCAAATAAAAAAATAAACTTCCTAAAAAACATTTTGAGTAGGCACACACAGACATCAAGAATCAGCCTGTGAATCTCAACAATGGTGACAATTATAAAGCATGTTGCAGTGCATTCTGGGTGCCACCAATCAAAACTCATTCATGGCTCCCATCATGCATTGCTGCATGAATAAATAATGAGCTTATGATCTGTTTGTCACCATTGCTGAGATTCATATGCTGATTCTTGATGTCTGTGTGTGCCTACTCAACATATTTTTTAGGAAGTTTATTTTTTATTTTTTTATTTGATCATTTGAATTTCATTGAAAAGTCTAAAAATAGTATGCTCTACAATGACAGTGCTGCTATTATTCGTAAGGTAAACTTAACTCAGAAATTCGGTTTAATATAAGTTCAGTGACTCAGGTCAAATGATTATGAAATAATGATTATGTTAAAACACAACCAACACCATCAGATGACCTTTGTTTATTGTTCAACCGGCTGTTATAACTCTTGTACAGCAACCAAACAAAATCTAAAGTAAATAAGTTAATGGTCGAGAGCCCAACTAAAACACACACTTATCTCCATAATGGTGACTTAAACATTCCGGTTTTCTCCTTCAGAGATTCTGCTTGTTAACATCAGGTGTCTTCAATAATGCTCAATCATCACTCAGTTATTCACTTAATTAACTCTTTAGCTCAGAGTTTAATTGGGTCGCTTAAAATTACCAAATTCCATGATGTTGAAGTTACATGAACATATTATGTTTGTTTAACGAAACATAGTTATGTGGAACCGGTGGAACCTGTTTACATAAAAAAGTTAAGTAAAGCCAACATATCATTTTTTGAGTGTAAGGGGTGGTCCCTTACCTGGCATTGAGGTCCTGTCTGTCAAGCCCGAATTGGTGCAATTGGATGCTTCTACAGAGGTCAGGTACGGATGCCCTTCCCCCATAGGTGGATCTCTCCACTCAATGTTTCAGAGAACCGGTGTTACGAACAGTAAGTTGATAAGGTGTAAGGTGAGTTGATTAAGACTAGTTTATCCACTATATATGCTTCAGACATGTTACACATCCGCGTTTCACGTCGTTATTGGGTACTTTAATAATAGAATTGTGACATCGTTGTGTAATTATGTGAATTATAGCAATGACCTGTCCAAATGTTTCCGGAAAGGAATCAGACTTTCACAACAAAAACACAGTGACTCTCAGTTCATTAGTTGCCTCTACTGTGGTTTGGTTAGTAGTGCTTATCCTTAACTACTGCACCACCACTCTCAAGTTCGTTTAAAGGTAGGGTATGGGATTTGCAAAATGGCCAGCAGATTTTGAAAATACACAACTCAAAAGGTCCTACCTTCTTTCCTCCAACGGTGGCCCTGACTCCACCCATTCGAAGAACATGGACGCGCAATCATGCATCTGCAAAACTCAGATGCGCGATATTGCACTTACTCTCTCTCTCTCTGTACCGGGGCGACTTGCACTTACTGTCCAATGATTCTAGGTGGTCTTGGAAATGATTGGCTGGAGTTTTTCTAGTCCTGCCCGTTCCACAGATGATTAAATTGCTTAATTTTCATTTCAGTGCTTCTAACTCAGTGGCTGTAAGTGGGTTAGGAATAGGATTTCAAATGATTTTGAAAAAATGGTCAAAAAAGAAAATCACATACCCCACCTTTAACTAAAAATAACTCTATAGTCAAATGTTGTGATTGGCAGTTAGTGTTGCGTCTCACAACATTGTTCACTTTCAATTGTGTTACATCAGGTTAGGACACAATTTGCAAAGATTTCCCAATGTTCAGTTGAGATCTGATATACAGAAACATGTCTTTCTTTTTCTCAGACAAAACGGCATAGGTATGGGTTCGATGTGTGCACGGGCAGGTGGAGTGATTGCACCCATCATCTACCTCTTGAGAAACATCAGCCATCACGCCCCCATGGTGGTATTCGGCCTGTGCCCGCTCATAGGTGCCGCCCTCACTATGTTTCTGCCTGAGACGGCCCATAATCCCCTGCCAGACACTATAGAGGATGTGGAGTGCCCCAGGGTCCGGTGAGACACTGCAGAGCCACGAGCTCTAATATATCAAATATGTTCATGTTTTCATTCATTAGATTGTAGCTCTATGTGAGTAATTTCCAACATTCATTAGATTAAGCTCCGCACATGACATGTGGACAAAAATATATATTGTGTTAGTAAGTTGTGTCATTCTCTCGTTTTAGTAAGTCGTGTCTCCTATTTACTAATTCGTTACCTTGTTTTGATTTGACTAAAAGAAGGGACGAATTATCACAACGTGGCCATGATTTAGTAAAACGATTAACATATTTTTATTTTGTGCTTATGATGTAATTAAAACGAGGGAACGGATTAGTAAAATGTTGGTAATATATTTGTCCACGCATGTCATGTGCGGGGCTCCGTAGATTAATATATAAGCTGTATAAAAGATTTGTTCATTTGAGAAATGAAGTAGACAAAGGGTGTTTATTTATCTAATGATTATTATAATCATAATTATTACGTACACAATACACAATAACGTACAATCAAACGGGGCGGCAGTGGCTCAGTGGTTCATGTAGGTTGTCTACAAACCGGAAGGTTGGTGGTTCAAGCCCCGGTTCCACCTGGCCAAGTGTCTTGCTCTCCATGAGCAAGACACCTAACCCCAGCTGCTCCCGACGAGCTGGATGGCGCCTTTCATGGCTGACACCACTGTCGGTGTATGAATGAGTGTATAAATGGGTGAATGTGAGGCAAAATGTAAAGCGCTTTGGTGGCCATTGGGTCTGTGAAAGCGCTATATAAAATGCAGTCCATTTATAATGATTAATCAACTATTTTTCCAAATTTTGCATGAATTCACCACATGTTAGGCTATAAAAGCTATAATGTCTATTTACAAAAAAAAATTGTGTCCCATAACTCGTATTAAGTCATTAACTGAATTACCTAAAGCACTGTTTACCATAATTCTGTATGACTTCCCCTCTTCTGTGGATCACAAAAGGAAATTTTAGGCTCTTTTATTCACTTTTTATTTCACTTAGAAAAAAGATACAATGAAATGAATAAGTAACTGAGGCTGTCACTCTGCCGGACATCTCTGTTTGGAAGTAGGAACAACATGGACTAACATGAGTATGAATACAGTAAATGATGCAGTCATTTTAATTTTTGAGGTAAACACTGTAATTTATTTGAACGTTAACTGGATAGCTCCAGCTTTTCACGACAGCTTATTCCATTCATGTTTTTGGATGTTAGTCTTTTAAATTCAACCAGTACATTGTCCTCCCATTAAACACCAGTTCCATCTTTCATGTCTCTCACATGACAAGATTGTTTGTCACTTCCATTCACAAAGCCATGGGATATTAAAGTATCCATCGTATGTGCACTTCAGAATACATTTCACCTACAATTTTATACTGTGAATTCGAACATACTACTCTTTTACATACAGTTTTTCAAGTAGGCTGTCGCGTCACCTTTATTTATTTATTTATTTATTTATTTATTCAATAATGTGTCAGCATCATTGCATTAGGTGAGATTTAATTTTATTTGTGAGATGAGACATCGACAATTTTCACAATAACCATCATCCACCGCACCGCACTGTTCTGTTATGTTTTGTATAGATAGCAAATTCTGTATCTTTCGCACCCCATATGTCCCCAAAACTTTTTATAAAGGAGAGAGTAATGAGACAATTGAAACTGGCCAGCTTACTGATTGCTAATTTCACACACACACAAAAAAAATAAAATAATAATAATAATATTAGCTTTTATATATAAGCAAATAAATAACGGAAATATCAGAAGACGATGCAAAGTCCATGGGTCTGGACGCAATTGGATATCTTTTATGAAAAGTCCTTAGAAAAAAGCCCTTAGAAGCAATACTATGGATGAGGACATATGTTCAATTTTGTCAAGTGACACCACATTAATTATTAATTAAATCCATTTTTTCCATTTCAAAAGCACTTTGACGTGCTTTTGAAATGTGGTTACTGCTGATATTGTTGACTAACCGTCAAGCCTAATCCATTCTGCAGATTCTCCCCCAAATCCACAGAAGTGCTGAAGACATCAGCAGAATCCACCTGGGCCTAGTTTTCATTTATTCTTGGAGATTTCATAAATGTGAATTCCTGCAGTTTACAATGTTTTCTTAAGGGTCAAACACCTTTTGGGAGACTGTTGATTAGTGTCTTGTTGTTTTGAGTAGTTTATTTTGACACATGGTGGTTAGTTGTTGACACTACAGGAAAATGTTGACATTTTAAAAATGGTTTTCTCCTCCTGGATTTGGAAGGGTTTTTTCCCCTCCTTTAAAAAAAAAAAAAAGGAAGGCTGGATAAAACAAACCACGGATCAAAACAACGAAGCTATTTAAGCGCCTCAAGAAAACCACAAAATTTTATTTAGAACATATTTTATTCAGAGCAGATCACAGTTAAAGCTGATACTCATGAAATGTGGTTGATCTTTGCCCCATTTGCCTTCCAGCGCTACGGCTGAGAAGTCTCAACATGCTTCGTATGAAGAGTGTCCAAAACAGAACCCCGACATCATCCTCTGAACAGCGGGCGCAGATTTAACTCTCTGCAAACAACCATTTCGGAAGGAAAGACTTTTCATGTGTTGTTTTCAACTTTTCTTTCCAGGACTACTTGAACATAGTCAAGGCAAGTGCAGTGTGTGTATGAAGGCAAGTGAAATACATTACTGAGCTTAGATTTTGGAAGCATTTTTATCATAATATTACAATAATGTACATTGATGAGGGCATTTTTTATGTTGGTTTTTTTATTAAAATGGATAAATCTGAAGTCCAGGGTCTAATTTTGCATTTTAAGACTCATTGTAAATAATGTTAATATCATGTAGTTAGCTTTGAAAATCAAACATGGAGATGAAAAATTGCTACATGCTAATAATTCTTTAGTTGCCTTGACAAGAGTGTTTGAGTTCAAAAGACTACCTGTAATCATTAGATAAATTTTTAAGGTGCCTTTAACTGGAGTGAATTAGTGGAGTTCACTTTTTTAAGTTAACTCATCTCTGAAATGCTCACAAACTCAACAACACAAGCTTGTTTTTTTTCTAGTAGTTTACTAGTTTTCACTGGGTAGAATTCACTTTTAAAATGTTTTAAGTGACAAACACAGGAGCGTCTAAACATTTCAATGTTGTTATGTCATCCAAGATATTCATCAAGATATTATTTTCTTCATTCGAAAAGAAATTAAGGTTTTTCAGGAAAACATTCCAGGATTTTTCTCCATATAGTGGACTTCAATCACTGTAAACCCGAATAAGTTGGCACAACACAACAAATGTATTTGTACATTTGAATTGTTCTTAACTTGAAATGTTTGAGTACACTAATTCATACATTTAACTTAAAATTTCATGTAATCTCAATGTGAACACTTTTATTAGTATAAACTTAGCTAGCTTGAACAAGCTAGTTTGCTAACATACTATTTTGTTAACATCTTATCAATAGTATGCTATACAGTAACACTTGCAGCAATATAAAGGTTTAATTTGCTCTCAAATCAAGCTCATGCACCACTTGTCACCATGATGGTAACTATCCTAAAACCAACATTAATAGAAATTCTTCTAAATTAGCATAACGAAACATTAATCATTACTAAATCACCCGCTTAACATTAATCTTGCACAAAAAAAACATTGTATTACACTTAATTTTAGCCTTTACTCTCCCTTTCGAGTGCCATCGGCAAAGCATGCTGGGAAATACACATCCCAGCCGTTTCAGTTAAACTTAAGTTCGTCTAAATTAAAAGAAATAATTTCATAAAACTCAAAACAATGAAACAGTTCAGTTTACTTAAAATATATCCATTCTGTGAACTTGAAAGAAAAAGAAAGTGCTAAATACTCATAAAAGTTAATTTGACTGAACTAATTAGTTTAATTTAAGTTTTTCCTACTCAAACCAATTAAGTATTTTGAGCGTTAGGGTTTACAGTGATGGGTTGAAGGTCCAAATTGCAGTTTCAGTGCAGCTTCAAATACTCTACACGATCCCAGCCGAGGAATACGGGTTTTACCTAGCAAAACCATCAGTAATATAAAAAAATAAAAAATAAAACATTTATATACTTCTTAACCACAAATACTCGTCTAAAGACATGAACATCTTGGATGACATGGATGACAATTTTAATTCTGAAGTGAACTAATCCTTTAAGTTGATGCTGCTGCTGATCGATGCTGTAACTACTATTCTTCCACTAACCTGCACTGTGAAGACATAAGACATATTCCATTGGCTTCAGTGTAATTGGTCACCTGGTATTTGCAACTGGCTCAAAAAAAAGTTGACCTCCTATAAAGAGAAATACCAACCTCAACACAGCCTGCTTTATACTATTACTTTCTTACTCCTGTTTCCAAACTTCTTTTCAAAGCATTTTGGTCTTACAAAAGTTTACAGTCGGCATTCATGCAGTTATGTCTTCTGTACTATAAGGTCCCGTCATGATTTTCACCCTTCGACTGACCTTTTCTGCTACACTTTCCAATATTTCCAGTATCTGCACACTCATCTTCCGACACTAAGAGGAACAGCTAGTCCACACATAAAATCAACATCAAAAAGCATTGATTAATATATAAGCCTGTTGTAAAATTGAGCATAGCACGATCCTACAGTTTGATTTGTTAAAAAAGAGAGGTAACAACTACTAAATGTTTCCCATATGGCCTTGCCATCTCTGAATGCTAAAACAGTTTACAGGGCAGTTTCTCACATTATTTGTGTAGTATGTGATTGATTTCTGCACCACTGATAGCATTAAACAGAGTTGCAATAATAATGAGGTAGTCCCACCCCAACTCCGACCATTGGCTGAGCCTATGCTGTACCTATGCAATGGCCCACTCAAACAACAGACTGCAATTCTGAAAATTACATGTTTCACTATCAAAAACGATATATATATTTTTAGCTAACTATCACCACCTTCTGGAGAAAAGCGGTACTTGATTATTCCAGAACCCTTTTTTCCAGAATCAGAGACAACTAACATAATCCCACCAGAATCTCCTTTATTTCCACAATATGGTGTTTGTGGGTTTTATATGGTATTTACTGAATACTTTCATTTTTACAGAGTTTTGTACATTTTAATAAAACTGAAAAGGGATTTAGATACCCAAACTATACATTACTGGATAGTTCAAACTATACATTATAAATTTGATGTATATTATTTTTCTCTCTGTTCTCTGTTCCTTGACATGTATTAAATATGTTTTACAAAGTTAAACATTTGGATTCATGTTATGTTGTTAAAAGAACATTGCTGCACATTCTGATTTACACATGTCACCAAAATGAAGAAGCTGATGAGGTTTCATGGAAATGATGAGAATGATTAGTCTTGGAAGCAACATTATCTGTATTATTGTGTTCTGTAGCCATAGATTGTTTTGTGTAGAGCTTCCATTTGCAAGCACACATACACATTACGCATCTCTGGTCATGAAACTCTATCCAATGACTTCACACTACAACTGGCATTTTAATTAGAGTGTGATAGCAGCTGCAGCCCTCCTGTCCGTGTGACACTAAACCAATGTGTTCTGAGACTGAAAAACTTTATACAGGGCCTGCTGTCTGAAAACCACACGAGAAGGTTATTTATGACACACACACACACAAAGAAAACACACAAAATTGTGCTCAGTGTGCAGAAATGCATTAGTAACACATTACAGTAATAATTTTACTTTTAGCAGGAACTATACCCAGCTAACAGGGAACGTTCTCATAACTTTCGCTAACGTTCTGGTAAGGTTCTCTCAAAGTAATGAACAAACGTTACATAATAGTCAATGTTATCTGGTCTTTAAACATGTTCTCAAAAGGTTGGCACAAACACATTATTTATAAATTGTATGTAGAAGATTTTTTAAATCTCATATTGTTGAGAGAAAACATTCTTAGAACAACATTCTTGGAACATCATTTAAACATTTAGAATGACAACTAACTTCAAATGAAAAGGGTTGTGTGTGTCGTTTTAAAAAAACATCCTTGGAATGTGGGTAAGTTTTGTAGCCTGTCCCACATTAAAGGGTAAGTTCACCCAAAAACGAAAATTATGACTCACCCTCATGTCGTTCCAAGCCCGTAAGACCTCCGTTCATCTTCGGGACACAGTTTAAGATATTTTAGATTTAGTCCGAGAGTTTCTGTCCCTCCATTGAAAATGTATGTACGGTATACTGTCCTTGTCCAGAAAGGAAATAAAGACATCATCAAAGTAGTCCATGTGACATCAGTGGGTTAGTTAGAATGTGTTGAAGCATCGAAAATACATTTCGGTCCAAAAATAACAAAAACTACGACTTTATTCAGCATTGTATTGTCTTCCGGTTCTGTTGTGGATCCGCGTTTGGTGCCGCTGCTGACGTAAGACGCTGCTGACGTGTGTCTGGTGCGCCCGAGCTTCGTTTACAGTCTGAGGGAGACGCACGCTGGAAACAAAACAATCTTCGCAAACGTGTCTAAGGATTTCCACACAGAGGAAGACTTGCATTTTTTGCCCAGTCATATTTATTTGAACCCGAATACACGGACGCACCAGATACACGTCAGCAGCGTCACTGCGGACTCGTGAACGCGGCTTGACAACAGAACCGGAAGACAATACAATGCTGAATAAAGCCGTAGTTTTCGTTATTTTTGGACCAAAATGTATTTTCGATGCTTCAAAACATTCTAACTAACCCACTGATGTCACATGGACTACTTTGATGATGTCTTTATTTCCTTTCTGGACAAGGACAGTAGGCCTATACCGTACATTCATTTTCAATGGAGGGACAGAAAGCTCTCGGACTAAATCTAAAATATCTTAAACTGTGTTCCGAAGATGAACGGAGGTCTTACGGGCTTGGAACGACATGAGGGTGAGTCATTAATGACATCATTTTCATTTTTGGGTGAACTAAGTGTAAAAATAAAAATAATAAAAATAATAAAAAAAACACTTTCAAAACAATAATCATGAAATCACCATAAAATTATCATTAGTATTTGATGAATGTTTTCATAATGTTGGCAGAAAATATTTTAAAAACATTCTTCGAATATCCTTTAAATATGAAGGATCACTAACTTTCTGGCTAAAAATATGGCTTAAGGTTGTATGTTACACAGCAAAATCCCCTGTGTTTCATGAACACTGCTCAGTGTTCGCACGTGTCAACTGTACAGAGTGTTAAACTGAAGCAGTGTTAGAGTTAGATAATTAAGACAATTATATTAGATAATTAAGAGATGATTGACCATTAGTGATGATTCACCTAAAGAAAGAGGATCAAACATTCAAAGTCACCATTGATGTGATCAGTGTTTCTGTTTCCTGTAGTCTTGACCCTTGACTGTTTTGTTAGTTTTTACACTGACTGCCTTAACAGTGTGCTCAGAAAACTAAGAAGTTGAAATAGAACAACACCAACAATAATGTGCTACTGACCGTCACACTCAGTTGCAGGAAGAAACAAGAAGATGATGATGATCAGGTTGGCTTTAATAATCCACACTCGAAAAACTCAAATAATACCAGGCAGCAAACATCAATGTAACATTAACAACTGAGGAGTGAACAGACAGCCCCTTAAGTACAAGCCAAATGAAGGAAATCATAATAAACGCCTGTGCTGATTAAATGAATTACCATGACAACTAAAGAGTGGTGGGAAAACTGAACAAAGGAAGGGAGGATCCATAGGAGCCACAGGATCCTCTCACTAAGGTGAGGCGGGTGAGTGCATGTCCTGAGGC